TGCTGCTGCCTGCCCAGCTGGGGCGGGGGTGTGGGATGCGGGCGCAGCTCACTCTGGGTGGAAGGGGGCAAGTGGCAGCAGGGCATATCCCCCACACCCTGCACTGCCGCTCCTGCACCCTATACCCCGCCCCATGCTGGCTGGGTCACACCACTCCTGCCCTGCTTACCTGTGCTGCAGCCCCCAGGTGATAACACATGGTACATCCAGCTCTGTGAGCCATATCCCCAAGGCAATGCAGGTGAACACACTGCACTCGTCACTGATGCCCAGCTTCTCCAGCTCCATATTGCCTGGCCACCTGTGTACATCCTGCCCCTCAGCCCCTTTCCAGCTGTGCACCTGAAGGTGCACACATAGCCACCACTGCTACAAAGCCCACCCAGGGCTGTGGAGCCTGACAGAGCTGCTTGCAGCTTTCCAGCTGCCTGCCACAGCTAGCCAGGGCTCTGGGCAACTGCTTCCTTCAACTGAGCCCTGCTGCAAGCAGCCCAGGCTCCGTGGCCAGTGGCAGCTGGCCAGAGCCTGGGCCGGCTGTGGCACGCCAAGCAAAATGGCCTTGCATGCCACACTCTGGAACACGTGCTGGGAATTGCCAACCCCTGGGTCTATCCTCTAACAAAAGTTAAACATCCATTACTGTAATCAATGCTGCAGTTGCAACATTTTTCATTAAGTGAGTGGTTCCACTATCTTATTTTGATAGTAAACTTCTCAGCACCAGAGAAATAGGTATCAGGCAATTTTAAAAGCTGGATAATGGCAACAGTTAAGATGACTCATGTTTGCGTCTTACATAAATTGTGGCAATCAGTTGGCAAGAATTTGACCCAACACAAGCTGGTGACAGTTTCAAGGAATATTTTTGTTTTGTTTACTGGTTAGAACAAATAAAATCTTCAAAATTTTACCTATGACCCAAATTTCAGAGTCCCAAGAACGGAACATGAAGCTTACACAGATGTCAGCAACAACTGTTAGCTGCTACAGAGTTTATGAACATCTAGAAACAGTAACTGCAAGCATCACGTAAGGACCATACCCATATATACTTGCCTCCCACTGTTGGTTTTTGCTTTGGCTATGCCCTGCTGCCACATGCCCCCTTCCCCATACCTAGATTCTGGATCCATTTGAATAGGAACAGGAACTTTAACATTCATTTATCTGTTCCACACCAACTGATAAAGACTAATGTTTATGACCACAAATACAGGCCAACTATGAGGTCACTAAGACTGGTCACTGGTAGTCCTGGAGAGAATTAGCGTTTTGGGTCTAGCTAGTGTCCAAAGGGTCCAAGAAATCAACAGACAAGCCAGGCTATGGCCTTCTCCTGATTGAACAAAAGGATTATACAAAGGTGATCCAAACAAGTGTCATTATCACTCCACACACATCCCTTAGTTGAGAGGACTAGATAATCTGGCAGATTAGAGTCTGGTAAATCACAGATCCCTAATCTAACATCCATCTAGCAGGGGCCATTTTAGGATGGTTTAGGAAGCCACACCCTCCTGTTCCCCTGCCAAAAAAGTTACATATTGTACATCTCTACTCTTGCCATTTAACAGTGTCCTGAAAAATGGAGATTTAAATTAACCTAATGTAAATTGGGTGGTTCTTTTGGATCAGTATTTAATTCCTGGAATTCTAAGAAGCTCTGGTTGGTCTTAGTATCTTGAGATAAGGAGTTCCACAGATAAGCCAAGCAGACTTTTTTGCTTATGATTCATGATGCATTTCAATTTTGGTCAGGTCTTTTTCTTTGTCCTCTTATTGTAAGAAGTCAGGTGTTCCTATGCTACTGAAACTTTCAACGGTCTCCCTTACTAACCCCTTTTCTCAAGGGAGCAATCTTAGTCATTCCACTCTTTGTTTTTGGCTTTTGTTTCTGTAGTATCACAAATAATCAAGGTATATTCCGACAGTAAAAAGCAAGGAATATTCAGACAGTATCTTACCATTTTATGAGTATTCCACTACTCACACATCCAGATTTTTTTTTTTTAGGGTCAATTGTGCCATGGACTGTTTAATTATGGTTGCGCCTTTCTGGAATGATGAGATTTCACATAGGTCTCAAACTATTATTAGTTTGAGGCATTCTCTTCATCATCCATTTAGCAAATCTAAGAAGTTGTATGTTTTCTGCACTTCCAGGATGTTTGAACAAGACTGCAGATTTCAAGATACAGTATCAACTACATTGACACAAACTTCACTATTCTGCCAATGACTCAGCTGGACCTACAAGGACTACTTTAGAGGGAGATTAGTTCAGTCTCAGGCTTGCACCGAAGCAGCTAACATGAACACTTTACACACCAATGCCTAATTAATTTATTTTATTGGAAGTTATTTTATTTTGTATTGACACATTAGATTTTTCACCCAATTCAAATTTATCCAATTAATTAATTAGTGACATCAGCTAGCAAGCATACTGACTGTTCTGAAAGTGATACACAAAAGACCTATCCTTCCTCTATTTCTGTTGGTTACAGAACCCCCAGTTAATCAACAGTATATAGCTCAGGGAAAACATGTAGATTTACAATGCGCTATATGTAATGTGCAACTTTTTGGCCTGAGGAGCCAGTCACTTGGTTCTA